AGACTTTCTGAGACTGTATTCCAACTGTCCTGTGGTTTTATGACCATGTAAATTTGTGTGTCATCAGCATAGCAATGATAGCGAAGGCTATGGCGACGACAAATCTCTCCAATCGGTTTGGAGTACATACAATATTTTCGTGGTCCTAACACCGACCCTTGAGGAACCCCGAAATCTAGTACTTTGTCATGTGAGGTGGCAGATCCGATGCCAACACACTGTCGTCGTTCACTCAGGTATGACTGTATCCAGCATAGTGCGGTATCAGTCACTCCATAAGAGTATTCCAGACGTTTATAAAGTATGCCATGGTCGATGACGTCATAGTCCTTATGTAGTTAACGTAACCGTGTTCAGCAAGGTAAAGGAACAGGACATTTCAATGAAACGTATCACTTCAGTTAGGTTGAAATGCTTTCCATGTTACTCAATAAGATACTGTTCTTTTCTTCCTTTAAGTTACATTTCACTTGTGATAACTGGTAGTGCTACCGTGTTGTTTTGTATTATGATAGTATTACTCTATTATGGATGTGAATGTTGCATATGACCTTGTAACATTTTATGTTTCAGATCTGCCTTCCATTATAACCTTTTCACCATGAATCTGGAGATGTTCAATCAAATTGCTTCGATTACAGACCACCTGTACCTAAGCAGTGCAGCGGCGGTCAAGCCGGACAGAATCCGGACTGTGGGTATCACTCACATCATAAACTGTACGTTGGAGATCCCCAACCTCAACCTGCCTACCATTGAATCCATCCAGATACACGTTGAGGACGCGCCACACGCGCGGCTCTGTGTTTACTTCGACAGGTGCGCTGACAAAATTCATCAAGTCCATAAACGTGGCGGAAGGACATTAGTGCACTGTGTAGCAGGCGTGAGTCGGTCGGCTAGTCTGTGTATTGCTTACCTTATGAAATATCACAGGTTGAATTTGTCGGAGGCTTACTATCACGTGAAGAAACGGCGCCCTGTGATTCGTCCGAATGCAGGATTCTGGAAACAGTTGGTTGACTTTGAACAAAAGCTGTTCGGACGAAACTCTGTCAAAATGATACAGTCTGGCATCGGGCTGATCCCGGACGTGTACAAGGATGAGACGAGGAACATGGTTTGGTTTCCTTCCTCTCATTCCCATTCTCGTCGCCCTCGTTACACTTACTGACCAAACGAACTTTTTTAGATTTTGTTTTATTTTTGTTGTGTTATATTAAGTTATATGTCTTATCTAGTTATAGAATCGAAAATCGAAAAAGAACAACAGGAACTCATTCCTGACAGCCTGCTGAATTGGTTTACGTACAATGGAAGCAGTGCTTATATCATTTTAATTTTCTTTAACATCGATGATTTTCAACGTCTAACACTTAAAAAAAATTGAATACCGATTTACTCTTAGGATAGATTGCCAAATTATATGACCAGTATTTAACTATATACTATGTTACAAAACTAAATTTAGAATGATATCTGAGTTGATTTCAAATGCTTTTATTTTGAAATATACAAATTATTTTGAAGTTTGGTCATAATAACTTTTTCGAAATTGCGTTATTGATCACTCTCGCTCAGTAAAACAATAAAAAAAAATAGGGCATCGTATTATAGTTTTGAAAAAAAAAAATGAAAAAAAATCGAGTTGATGTTACCGTTCAGATTTTGCGATTGATTTGTTATGATGTTTTATTTTCTAATGAACTCCAAATGAATATTTTAACAAGTTCATATTTTTTATACTAAAATCTCTATTATGTTACACATGGTTGGTTTTCATCCTAGTTCTATCACATTAGCCGTTTGTTACTGTTATTTTATATCTGTATATATATGTGCGTATTTAGTAAACGTGCCAGGAATATTTGTCCGGTTAATCGTTTACTTCTAGGTATGCCAGGTGACGTGTAGGGTATGATGTCACGCGCAATGCATTGTGTCGTCTTCAATAAATAGAAATCGAGGCATAGGCCATCTCCATTTACAGTTAATGACCTTTGAAGTTCAAAGGTCAAGGTCATATTGAAAGCTCCTTGCATCAATCATTGGTGGTTGATGTCTGCAACATTCTGCTATTTTTTTAAAACTATTTCGATCGCTTAAAGGTGTATGCTATCTTACACTTTAAAACCTTAATGTGTGCTATTTATCTCCCTTTATTGTATTGTGGTACGCATTTCTAAAGGGTCGTTATCAAATATCAACATTTATAAAAGATAGCTTTCACTTTTCCAATTAAGCAGGTACGTTTTTCCTAGAAACGTTCTCAAAAAATACCATTTGGTCGGTACTATACAGATTCGTGTTATCCTTCTGTTGCTGGTTAGCTTGTCAAGTGGTATGTGAAGGTAATAAGGGTCTGCTAATGGTAAATGAGCTTGCAAATGTATATAGATACCAATATTCTTTTTAATATACTCTTTTCGGTTAATCTTGCGTTTAGAAACAAAAATCAAAAGGTAATATTCAGAGAGAGTTATACAGATGTTGCCAATGGATCTCCCAAGCTGAATAACAAAAACAACGAGTAAGATTAAAGATAACCTGCCGTATGCTTACTTCAAAACATGTCCATTCAAGGATTTACGTTTGGTAGGTTTCCTTCGATTCTAACCAAAATATGTTTTAATTGTCTTGATTACCGCAAACAATGATCCAGTGTTTGTACTTTCAGGAACCCCCAAAGAAGGAACCGTGTATAAAGAAACACATACCATTAACAAAAAAGGGGAAACGCAAATAGTACGTAGCTATTCCTCCACTCTCGCTATGTACACCGTCATATGGGCAACCAGCTCCGAAACAGTGGCGAATAAAAGTCTTTTCAATTGTTTATACGAAACAGTGGCAATACAGCTATGGTTTTATCTTGTCACGTGACATCTGTAGCCACATCTTTCTTCCAAAGTGTAACGAAATTGTTACCTTGTTCATAAAACAAAACTGAAAAAAGAAGTTTTCGAAGAAAAGATAGATTCCACCTTGAGCTGACATTCGCCACTGTACGGGTTGTGACATTTTCCTTTGCTTGTGCATTTTACTGTACTTGTAGTCATTGGTTTATCAGGTCTTTGGCAACAATAAGGTGTATCTATAGTAAGGATTGGGTTAATTGCTATCTAAGTTTGATGTTTACCTGGCTAGCTTCTGCTTTCTGATAAACCTGCTGACACCTCGCTCCAGACCTTGGTAGCAATAATCACAAGTCAACCTCGTGTTCCTGCTTTCAGTTTGGTAACCAAGTACAGGCTTATTGTCCGACCAAGAGTCAGTGAAATTCGTGTCTGTTTATTGTCAGCTTTGTGCTTTATATTGTGGTCAAACATGTCTCCATTGATAGGCAGACTTACCTTGATAACAAAAGATGGCGCATGTTACCTAGCATGACTGAACAGAACCCGACCCACTTTTACCGTAGTTATTTCCACGTATGTTGCTCCTGTTTGTGTGTTGCTATGCTTACCGTTACCTTTTGCAACAAGGGAACGGGTCAGTGTACCTTTACGCTACAAGTCCAACTTCCGGTAGAAGTTCGGAAATCGCCGTTTAGAATTTTAATTATGAAGGAGGATTGCGAAAGTCCTCAGACTAACGGCATGCGTGAACGTTTGGGTTCTCGGTTAGTCCAAATTCAAACATGGACAGAGCGACTGGATTAAAAATAGATCGATTTTAAATCTGCTTTAGCTTTGTATGTAATGTAAAATGTTAATTTTAAGTTTGCCTGTCGCGTATATGTTGTGGTTAGAAACCTCTGTATTGGACCATAGTTATCTACTGTTGGTGCTGTTCCTTAAGGTGCCATCGTGCAGCGGCACCTAGTAGCAAAAACAATCATCAACAAGATAGATAACTCTAGTCATATAAAATCCTGAATTAATGCCAATCAGTATTTTAGAGACATACAGTGTTTATTTGCATGATAAGAACAACATTACGGAATTCTTTATTCTACCAAAAAAAAGTATTGTTATGTTGTGTTTATATGTTTAGTTCTATATCTTATAGAAACTTTTTGAACAAAATAAAATGTGTTTTAAGAGTTTCCCTTTAGTTTCTCGTTGTTCCTTAAAACTTTTGTCATGTTCTTCCTTTTCCTCCTATTTCCTGGCATAAATCACTACACTTTAACACTACATCGAGAACTGGTATTGGTTTATCTCGATAGTTTTTTATTAGTCTTTGCACTTTTCTGTAAAGCACAATTTCTTATGACTTCTTGGAACAAACCTCTCTGCATATTTATTTGAAAACATTTCCCTCAGCATGGATTTCAATCTTAACACAAATAAGATCAGAACTAATGACGCTTTGTAAACGAACTGATGACGTTTTGTTCACAAACTGATGACACAAAATGGAGATAAAATGTAACAAAATTATATAGTTCGAATCCTCTCCTTGTCGTAACATTTGAAAGACGGTGGGGAGCAGATATTTTTATTAGACTTTGTAACGTCACTAGACAGTGGTGTTGTTCTACTAGGACGTTCATCTGAGGGTTACACGTGTATCTCGATGTGTCATGAAGCCAGACCAACTGTAGAAGGAACATTCATTGTTCTACTGTTTTTACCTTAACTGTTTCTCGTTGAGTTAATGAATGAATTAGGTTCAAAAATTTCTCTGGTCCTAGACTTGCACTTTTGTCTCCGGTATTTTTTCATGAGTCAGGGAAACCTCACACAGACAGAATCAACAATATAATTTCTAATTTATAGAATATCTGTAGTAAAAGAAAGAAAATTCACATAAATCTGGAGTATAATAAGATATCAATATCATATAAGTAGAAAATTATCTAACATATCAATTATTAAATGTGTAATATATAAGGGAATGTAAATATTATAAAAATTCAACATATATTTTGTAAATGTAGGTAGCATATACATGTAATAAACTATTACATTAACACGTCATATGAATGTAACATCAAGTCTGTAATGAAAACTTTTTTATTTATTCTTTATAAATATATAATATCAATACGTAATATCATTCAATACACATATTTGTGCATGTCATAGAAATGAAATATCAATATCTAATGTAAATATAACAGTAAACTTGTTATACAAATTTGACATAAATTAGTATAAATATGATATAAAATGTGAAATAAGCATGTAATGTAAATACGGAAGTCGAGTAACTTTCCGAATACCTTCCCTGTAGATATGTGACAAATAAACTCAGGCCTTGCATCATATGATTTATTTTAACCAGATGTTAATTGGTCTATTTGATTCTTCGGTGCGTACCAGCAGGGTCCTCACGCAAACATCGGATACACATACCTCTCTATGTTACTTTAGCTTTACCTGTTCTCTCCCCCAACTAACAAACGTCTAACCGAACAAGGAATGAATCTGCTACATTTTGAGCATTAGTGACGTTGACCCTTTGAACTAAGATTAAACGGGACCATTTTGACATTTTTTCATTTGTTAAATTCAACATCCTCGGTTGAGGTGTACACTCTAAGATACCGTTACAACAGTGTAATGTAAGACCATGTGTTTGTTTTTAATCATGCTTCAACATGCTACTAGACAACGCCGTGTGGAATTAAGTGTATCACGCACGTTAAGGCGGAACAACGTTAATGTCATAGACGTATAATAGGTTTCGATAGAAAACTGAATTAGGCGATAAATAACCCATATTGACACAAGGCTAGCGGAATGTTTTCCGGTTTTCAATAGACGATTTCAAAACCTCCAAAGTGTAATTGTAAAGTGTCCTCCAGGGTGATAATGCGTTGATGTCCTGTAGGTTAGGCTGTTAAAGCGACGGATAACAAATATTTGTTTTAGGTACTAAACACGTTTTCCAAAGTCGCTCACCGACAATTTGTATGATAAAAACAACATCAGAACCGCGATCTTTAAGCTTGAACTCCTCAGACAAGACGCTAGAAGATGACGTCACGATGAGTCCATGAAGTTGTGATATATTTTGGAGGACGACTACGTTTCGAAAATCGTCATTAATACGTCATAATAAACAATAGTGAAGACAATACAACTGACGTCATAGCATAAGTTGTATAGAGGTAACGAAAAAAATAACAATATGGCTCATATTTATTTATCATTGTGTTTGGTTTATATTATCACCTTTATGACAAATAATATTGCAGTATGTGTCAATATTTATTATACATAACAAAGCGTTTTACATTTTAGCAATTCTGAAATTTGTTTAAAAGTTTAATTAGCTTGGTACACTCTAATAAGAATGAAAGTTCCATGTGGTATTGTATATTATCCTATGCTAGGAATGCATGATGCAGGTAAGTAAGTACAAACGGTGGTTATACATACAAACACCGCCAATGTGCTTTATTCACGTGTCAAGCAGGACGTTTACTTTACATTATATCTGAACACTCGTTTGTTTTACATATATATTGCATGTAGATATTACTGTCTATGTTCTCATAGTTGTGTTTTACCCCAGCCTATAGGTGACAAATGTCACGCTTTACGCTCTTTGTCGTGACGTCAAGAATTATCACGCTTTACGCTCTTTGTCGTGACGTCAAGAGTTATCACGCGTAACGCTCTTTGTCGTGACGTCAAGAGTTATCAAGCTTTACGCTCTTTGTCGTGACGTCAAGAGTTCACGCTTTACGCTCTTTTTCGTGACGTCAAGAGTTATCTCGCTTTACCTAGGGTTGACATGTAGCTTTGTTGTAAATTGTACCGAAAACTGTTTGATATTATTTTTTCAATTTGTTTGGCAGGTCAGAGAATGAATGGAACCACGTGCTACCTTCTGAGATTTTTTCAAATGGCGTGAATGACGTATATGGCATCACAGGATCAGCTCCGATTCTTGTTCACATGTGAGGAATGTACACCGCTATTTTATTTCTGGTCCATACGCATTTAAGTCGATGGCCAGGAAGTGACGTCACAGGGAGTGATAGGACTTTGTTTACACCCAACTTTTGCTCAGGTTTAACTAAGGTTTGTCAACTGTGTGACACACAACATTTTTCGTGTGTAGATTAATCAGTTGTGTGTAACTAAGGTTTGTCAGCTGTGTGGCACACAACATTTGCTGTGTGTAGGTTTATGAGTTTTGTGTAAATAAGGTTATCAGCTGTGTGACACACAACATTTGTCGTGTGTAGGTTAATCAGTTGTGTGTAACTAAGGTTTGTCAGCTGTGTGGCACACAACATTTGCTGTGTGTAGGTTTATGAGTTTTGTGTAAATAAGGTTATCAGCTGTGTGGCACACAACACTTGTTGTGTGGAGGTTTATCAGTTATGCGTAACTAAGGTTTGTCAGCTAAATGTTGTGTAGGTTTTTCTGTTATGTGTAACCAAGGTTTGTCAGCTAAATGTTGTGTGTAGGTTTTTCGATTATGTGTTACTAAGGTTTGTCAGCTAAATGTTGTGTGTAGGTTTTTCTGTTATGTGTAACTAAGGTTTGCCAGCTAAATGTTGTGTGTAGGTTTTTCTGTTATGTGTAACTAAGATTTGTCAGCTAAATGTTGTGTGTAGGTTTTTCAATTATGTGTTACTAAGGTTTGTCAGCTAAATGTTGTGTGTAGGTTTTTCTGTTATGTGTAACTAAGGTTTATCATCTAAATGTTGTGTGTATGTTTTTCTGCTATGTGTAACTAAGGTTTATCATCTAAATGTTGTGTGTATGTTTTTCTGTTATGTGTAACTAAGGTTTGTCAGCTAAATGTTGTGTGTAGGTTTTTCAATTATGTGTTACT